CCCCCCCCGGGCAAATAACACTATAAACACACACACACACACTTCAACTATATATAAGTATAACCCCATTTCCATTGAAGAGAAAGAAAAAAAGTCTAAGCAAACACTAAAACCATAGAATAGTTACAATAGTATAGTAGTAGTAACCAAAAATATGGGATTACAAAATCAACTAAGTGACATTTCTTCTGAATCAATCCCAATACTAATGGTGACCCTTTTCGCCAACGGCGTTAATTATCTCCGTTCCGTTATCTTTACTTTCCTTCACTTCATTGGTTTTGGTTTGGGTTTCTCTTCTTCCCGATTATTTCCCGATCAGTTCGACGATTCTTTATATGAAGCTGTCGGGTCCGGTCTGACCGGCGTTACTTTCCTCGCCGAGCAGCTCAATCTGAACCGGCTGTTATCTTATTATTACCAAGGGGATGAAAAAACTGGTTCCGGTTCGGGGACTTGTGTGGTTTGCTTGAACCGGTTTGTTGATGGTGAACCGGTGCGCAAGTTAGCATGCCGGCACGTGTTTCACACGGAGTGTTTAGATGGGTGGTTCAATACGCTTAATTTTAATTGTCCGCTTTGCCGGTCGAGTTTGGTCTCCGAGGAGCGCGTGGTGATCACGCGCCGTCGCGTTGCTGGTGATTTGCTGACCTGATTCTCGTTGAGCTGAGTGTCCATGGTCGATGATGATATGAGACTCTTTCCTCTTTCCTTTTTCTTTTCTTCCATTTTTTTGATGAATACATTTAGAGTTATTTCCTTGTTTTTTTAAGAACATTTCTGACTGCCTCTTTTCTGCCACTAAATAGTGATGTAAAAAAGCTTTCAATTTTGTTAGTAAGAGTACACTTCCAATCCTCTATGTAAATGGGAAAACTTATGTATCTTTTGGGTTTTAGGTCTTTGATATAGTAATTTGCTAAAGCTATGTGTATTTCCTATTTATTTTCGATTTTAATATGGTATCGAGGCATAGATTTTAGGACTTCAAATTTAGGGATGTTATATAATTCTCCCTCCGGTTCACAATAAGTGACTATTTTAATTTTTTATTTTGGTCTAAAATAAGTGTCTATTTACATAATCAAGAAGGAATTAATTTTATTTTTTCAAAATTTGCCCTTATTTACATATTCCAATGTGTCAAGGTAATAATTAATTTAGATTAATTTAATAAATTCATCTTTTTTTCTCTAGGAGTTCGTATTTCCTTAATGGGTGTGCCAAAGATAAATTGATCACCTATTGTGAACCTATTGCTCATGGGGAGGAGATGTATCGTGGATGAGCTTATTTATTTAATTTTATATTAAAAGCAGTACGCGATCACCTATTATGAGGATTCATCATGAATTGATAATGTTTATGTTGTCAACTAACTTATTGCAACTCTCCTCCCTTACTCGAGCTTGAGACCAATGTACGTGTGCATGAGACCCCTATTTGTGTTCCTTACGTTTCAATTTATATGACACATTTTTCTTATTAATTCGGTTAAAAAAAATAACATATTTTTATAGTTGAAAATAATTTGATTTTTACGACTGACTGTCTCGAGATTTATGATAAGGATCAAAGAACTAGAGTGCCAGAGAAAGCACGTAAGTTTATGAAATTGGTAAATCATGTTCTGAATTTGCACAAGGGTTCAACTTTATATCAATTCCGAGTTAGTTTTTGTTATTTTGGTAGTTGGTTCACATTTGATCATTGGGTTAAATTTGCTATTCATCAAAAGCAAGTAAAAAAATTTCGAATTAAACCTAGGAGTAAACAGCTGGGAAAGATTTCGTGTTGGATCGAGTCAATATGATTTTCCTAACATTGAGAGATTATGCTGCTTGTAAAATGGAATAACAGAACATATATTTATTTTCAATGAATGCTCCTAGGTCTGAGTAAAAAGATATTTACTCAGTTGTGCATTTCAAATCTTATTTGCTAGATACTTTTTATAGTTGAATAAATTAATCTAAGATTACTCCATGAACTTAACATTGGCAAAGATAAATGTACGGATTGGAAGTAAGGTTCATGGAAATATGTAGACTATGATTATGTTCCGTCCTACTATATTTATTGACACGATAGAGGTCATTCTAAAAATTGTTTTAACTTTGTATACACAGATTTATAATGAATATGTAATGAACTTTTACATTATTAGGTCACCATATCCGGATGATATTGAGTGTTTTATTAATGAAGATACAGTTGTAGAAAGTACTAGAATCTGAAATGTCTCACGACTTTGCAAAACCAGTTTCTCAAGACTAGGAAAGGCATCATCAGAGACATCCCATTGTGACATAATTACATTGTCTAACTTCAACACTTTTGAGTGCAGGGAACTCATCATCTTTCACTTCCCATTTTTCTCCCTCAAAGGCTCTTACTTGCAACTTGAGTACCTCGAGCTTGGGAAGCCTTGCAATTGTTGATATTTCTTTTCATGTACCTAAAGGTTGCTGCTCAATATGATTTTGTTTTTGGGGAGAATCCACTAAATGGACCAACGAAGCACTGTCAGGTCGATAGCCCTTGATCCGAGATCTCTTTTTAACAAAAAAGAATTAAATTTGAAATAGTCAAATTTTTGAGATTCTCCGGGAGCTTACACTCACTAGGATGCTAAGGCTAATTTTGCCAATAGAAAACACCTTTAGCGATTAAAGATGGACCAAAAAGTCCAACGTGGGAAAACGATTGAAAGTTTTTCTCGGCTTCATTGAATAATGACTCGACTCCAAGAACCTCACCTCAACCTCTTAAGATTAGAGAACTTCCTCATCATTTTTTTCATGTCATCTCTGTTTACCCGAAAAACAGATAGAGTTGAATTTATACGTGATTCTAAGGATACGTGAAATAACTTGGTTCAATGAAATATATCGAATATTGACTGTAAAAAAAAATAAATACAAACCTAAATTGAGTAGAGAATGCTTTATAAATGAACAAGATAAATCAATACCAAAAGCCCAAAAAGGATAATATTTGCTAGATGCTATGTAAATCTCAATAATGTCTGAATATGCGTGTGTATGAATATATGAATGAATCTGTGAATGAATAAATTGAGTCCCCTGAATCAATGATAACCTACTCTTAATATAGTGGAGGAATCCTACTTTGGATATAATTAAAAATACATAGTAGGGATCCCACGATATATGAATTGGCTTTTCCTTGATTTCCGCTGAGATTCTCTCTCCAAATGCGATTATAATGGCTCTTTTGTCCCTTGGCTCGAGCCCGAACTCGGCCGCTCTCGATCGTGATCGGCCTCTATTCGCTCGACCTCTATCTGGGCTCGATCTCGGTCTCGGCTGATTTCGGTCTCGATCGGTCTCTATTTGCTCGACTTCTATCTGACTCGATATTGATCTTGGCTGATCCCGACCTTGGTCAGTTTCTAGGGCTCGAACTTAGCAACCCGACTTAACATCATAGCTCGATAATACAATGACGAACCTCGGTCCATCATGCCCCAATCTCGATTAATCACACGAAGGGTAAACTCGATTTTGACCGTATACAGATAGTTTCCTCATTTCTCGGAAAGAATGTGGCGAGAAACGATATGGTTTTTCAACCTCTGACTAGATACACACAGACGTCTGTGTCGATCCCGATTGTGACATATGTGACAAATGTTCCGTCGGTTCAGTTACCAAGGCATTAAATGCGCGTCAGTCGATGGTCGGCCACTGCCAATTTTGAACCCTCATTGTGAAATCTATAAATAGCATCCCTTCTTCATTATTTTAAACCTTTACCTTCAACTCTTCTCATTCCAAACTTCACAGTTCTTCGCCTTCTCCAAAGTTCTCTATTTCCAAGTTTAAAAATTTCTTTGCTTGTTCTTCACCAAACACCAAAATATTTTAATTTCCTATTTTTTTTGTTCTTGAAAATTTAGATGGCCAAGATATCTAAAATTGTTCCTCAGAAAGAGGGTGCTTCCTCATCTCGGTCGGCCGATGAGAAATCGGTGGTGGAGCCACGCCTTGAAAAACTCATTCCTAGGGGATGTGGTATCGATTCCGACTTTAGGGTCGAGAAACCCTCATCGGTTGCTGGTCGATGTGAGCCGGTATTGAGATATATATGCTCGATACCCAAAAGCCTTCTTGATTTGGTGAAGAAAGATTGTGGTTGGGAAAACAAAGAGGTTGTGATACCGATACCAGAGGAAGAGATCACTACCCACGTGGAAGGGTACTTGAGTGTTTACACTTATCCTTTCACGTTGGGTTACCTCGATCCGGTCATCATCGACTTCTGCAAGAAATACCAAGTGACCATCGGCCAAATACATCCTTATTTCTGGAGGATTGTAATATTGCTCCATTTTTTTGTGAGCAAAATCGACGAGCTTCCTTTCACCCTCGACCACCTCGTAAGATTATATAGCCATCGTCTTTACTGAGGTGGCTGATAAAGCTTCAACGCCGGGCCACCAAGGTGTTCACCTCGAGAATAGACGAAGACAAAGATCGGGGTTGGATGAGCCGGTTTGTTCGAGTGAATACCTCGGGCCTAATCTCGGCTGAGATTATGCCATTTTTCGAGAAATGGAATATGAACCGTAAGTGTGATTCCGTTTTCAGTTTTTGTTGTTTTTACTTCTTCATCTTTTCTTATCAGTGTTTTTCTTGACACAGCCATTGCTTGGATGCCGGGTGCAGTTTCCCATCTCGAGAACTGGGCCAAGAGCCTTGTTTCGAAGTCGACATATGCTGAGCGCGCATGGCGCGATTTGTCAAAGGGCCAGTGAGAGGCTCGTACTCATGGTAAACCTTCTTCTTGGCTCACCGATTTGCTTATTGTTCAAGTATTTTTTCAGGCATAAGTTTTACTTACTTTTCTTTCTTTGTAGGTCTCGGAAAAGATGCGGTTATGAGACCCCCATCAGGTGATGAAGAAGTTTTACTGCCTATCTCAAAACTGGAGAAGGTGATTAAGAGAAAAAGGGCCTCGGACTCTGAGGGTCAAAAACCCAAAAAGAGAGCGGCTCGTAAACCCAAGATGAACACAATCCCTTTGACTATGGAGTCGGTCTTGAGTTTAAGGGATGATGAAGAAGAAGAAGAAGAAAGTGATTTCGGGATGTTGGCCCATGCACGGGCTAGCACCGATACTTAAAATACTTCGGTATCAGTGGGAGTTGATACTGCTCCGTCGAGGCTTGATGAGGTCGAGGAGGAGACTTTGACCCAAGTTCCCGAGCCGAGGGAGATCGAGGACGTTTTACCTAGGGGTAAAGAGACCGTCGAAAAGGCGGTGGATACCGGTGCAAAAACCGAGCTTGAGGTTCCCCAGGACGGAGGCGTAGCTCAAAAAGACCTACTCGGGGCGATAGAGATCGGGGATTCCTCCTCTTTCACTTCCTTTTCCCAATTGATGATACGTGATGCTCAAGGTGTGGAGACTTGTCACGGGGAAAGAGTCCATGGAGGGGGGGAGGGGGATCCTTTCCGTGGTTATTTTATCGGGGTAGAAGATGTCACCGGTCCGAGTGACTTGGAGGCTCCGAAGAAGAGCTCGAGCGAGGTAGGAGCGCCTTGCCTATTTGACGAATCCCAACATGCCCTGAATCGGGTAAGTTCATACTTTCTTTGACAATTTTAATACTTGTGTTTTTATTTCCTTGTATAATCCCTTCTTATTTTTGTAGGCTTCTGTGCTTCATCACGAGGTATTTTTCCAATCCCGAGGGGAGCTGAGCCTGTACGAGGCCGAAGTTCGAAGGCTTACTGAGGAGAGAGATACCTTAAAGCTTCTCAGCGAGCAAAGAGAAGGATAAGTAAAAGGACTTCGAGCCGAGCTGGAAGTATCTCGAAAAAAACAAGCTGAACTGGCCGAGCAGGTACAAAGAATCTTTGAATTTAATGATATTGACTCGGGAGTGATGGCTAATAATTCAGTCCCGCAGGTCAAGC